GTAAATGAAAAAAAAAATAGTACATATCGGTACTAAAAGTAGTAGAGTCTAATAATAATTAGTGACATTCATAGAAAACATAACAAGCTTCACGAGTTCACTGTAACCATTGCCCTACAGACTCATCCAAGAGTTCACAACAAGAACAATGTCAAAAATACATAACAAAATCATTCAAGAGTTCAAAACAATAGACAAAAACATAATGCAAACATAAAATAAAGTCTCTAATCCTTTTTGCCGACCCCAACTGAATCCTCTTCCTTCTTTTCATCAAGTGAAGCATATCCCTCTCCGTCTTCTCTGATATTGAATTTTCTTATTGGAAGTTGAAACTTATTTGACAGCTTGTTCCATATATTTCATAACAATTTGATGAACTTTTTATGTTAAAATGTATCCCAAGCTACCTAAGTTGTAATTTTCTTTTCACTACTAGAAAAATGATTAATAGTAACCATTATTAGTGACTGATTTCCCTTTTTATATTTAGTGACTGATTTAGTAACTAAAATTTCAGTCACAAAAATCGGTCACTGATTCGGTCACTATTATAAAAATGGTTAATAGTGACCGAAATTAGTGACTGAAAAATTCGATTACTAATAGTAACTCGAATCAGTGAATGATTAATTATTGAATTGATATTTCAAATTTATATTAATATCTTAAATAATTTAATAATTAGATATATATTTTAAGTTTATATTAGTATTTTTATATAAAAGTGTAAAGATTAAGTGAACTTATTTTAAAATTTAATTAAACATAATAATATAATATAGTATTAACCATAAATATGTGAAGATTTAGTTAGAAATTAATTTTAAGTTTTATCGTTTTTATTTGAAAAAAATTGTTAAAAAATTCAAAATAATTAATTAAAATAAATAATTTTAATTTAATAAATGTGTTAATATTATCAATTATTGGAGAATTAAATTTATAATAATAATTATATACAATTATATAATTAATAAAAATTTAAATTATTTATAATTTTTTTAATTATGAAGCTAAATTTTGATAATATTAATAATTAAAAATAAAAAAAATTATATATATATATATATATATATATATATATCCCTTTAATTATTTTAATTAAAATTAATTTCATGAAAAAACTAATATTTGGAAAAACTAATATTTGGAAAAACTAATATTTGGAATCCCCACATACAGCCCCCGTTCTCAGCCTCGCAGCCCTAACCCTTATTTTTCTCTCCGCCGCAGCCTTTATCCTAAACTCTCACCATAAGGATTCTTTAAATAAACCCATATTCAGTGTCAATAATAACACGCTTGGATTTGTACACACTAATAATAATAACAATCATCATCATAATCAGAGTAACGGGTATCCAAATCTCCGTCAACGTTCATCTTCGCCGCAACCACGAATTCTCAAGTAACGCTATTGTCATTCACTTGGTTACTTTGTCTTTCTTTATGGATGATACATGAATATGATTTAATCTATTTTTTCTTTTTGTTGTTTTAAAAAAAATTAAAAAAACTGATTGAGAGAGTGAAATGAGATATGAGAAAAGGGCAGTTTGGCAAAAATCCAGATTTTATACCGAAAACAGGGAAAATTCAAGATTTGTGTGTTGTGTTGTGTAGCAGATTTTTTTGGAATTTCTAGTTTCAAGAATGTGTTCTTGGTACTCTTAGTCTGCAGATTTTAAGTTGATGAGATTTTTTGTGAACAAATAACAGGGAAGGAATACAGTAAAGTAGATTCAAGGTATGCAAGAAGGGATGCAAGGGTGGTTACTATTGAAGGAGTAACAGCTGTTTTGGAGGGTCCATCTAGTATTTTAGCAGTGTAAGTTGAATGTTGAAAATAAAGAACACCAAAAACATGACCAAAGATCTTTGACCTAAAGTGTTTGAACTGTGAATGTGGATGATATATATTCCATAGCTGCTGGGAAATCCTATAGCTACATACTTCAGTTTGCCATTTCTTTGGGCCAGTTGTATGGAGTTGCTGTTTATTTCATAGCAGCATTCTTAGAAGGTGATGACTTTTCTGCAAGTTCATTTTACTATTATGCATACTATATTGGAGCAAATGCCTCATGGATTTTTTTTCCTCAAGTGTAATAGCATTGTAGCTGGTGGGGCATTCAAGAAAGTTAGGGTTCAACCGTCCACAACTCGGTCGATCTTCAAGGTATTTTCATCCATTGAAAACAATTGGACAGAAACTTCCAATCTCGAACACTTTTCAGTTAAACCAACACACATAACCGCACACAAACATCACATGTGTCTGGGTGGTCACTGTTGTGTTTCTTGATTGTCTTGTTCCTACACATGTTAATTTTTTTTTCCACTTTATCTTGAAATGAAAAATTAACTTAAGCCAATAATTAAGCACATGATGTGTCTGTTTCAGGTTAGGAAGGAGAAATTAGGTGACAGAATAATAGTCCTTCATCAACTCGTTTCCTCATTTGGAAAGGTATAAAACCTGTGTTATTCAATTGAAGATTTACATAAACTTAATTTGAATGAAAAAAATGAGTCAAATATATAAAAAATTTTATCCACTTTCTAATTATTATCCATTTTTTATTTGTACAGTTTTCTGTTTGTAATGTATTGTTAAGTTCTTCAGACACGTCTACTTCCACCATCTTAGGTTTCTAACTGTCAATATCTTTGTATTGCGGGCATTTTTAGTGGCAGAGGTATAATTTATAGAAATACCTATAAATTTTGTATTAGAGGTTTTATTAAAATGTAATTATGTTGTGGATAATTATATGATATATTATTTATTAAAATAAGTCATTTGTTGGCATATGACAGAATATGGATGTTCGTAAAAATCGTAGTTGGATGTATAATAGACTTGTACCTGGTCGAAAAGGATATACTCGATGCATTTTTAAATGGTGTGACTCGAATTTGTGTCATTTGCTCTTTAATATGCAAACATGTCAAATGGAAAAATTAGATGTCCATGTAGTAAATGCAAAAATAAGAACTTTTTAGATTCGAAGATGTTCAAGTCCATCTTTATCGTCGGGGATTTACACCTGCATATTGGTATTGGACATGTCATGGAGAAATGGATCCAAATATGTGTGATGTGAATAATATGTATCCAAATTCATCTAATAATGCACACGAGGTTGATAGAGAAGACTTTGACAACATGATTCATGATGCTTAAGGTGCAAAGTTTATGAGTCATTTTGATGAAGAAAATTAGCAGTTTCCAAATACTGAAGCAAAGAAGTTTTATGATTTATTACATGTTTCAAAAAAATCATTGTGGCCAAGATGTACTAATCACAATGAATTATTTGTTGCTGTTAGATTGTTCACAATTAAATCAGAGGAAAACATGTCCCAATGATGTTTTTATCAAACATTGGCTCTTTTGAAAGAGACACATCCTGTAGATAATTTTATCCCAGAAGATTACTATAGAATCTTAAAATTGGTTTCAAAACTTGATTTATTAGTAGAAAAAATTGATTGTTGTGTTAATGGGTGTATGTTGTTCTACTCAGATGAAGAAAAACAACTATCTACATGTAAGTTTTGTCAAAAACCTCGTTATAAGACAAAAAAAGTGGGTAGAGGTAAATATAAAAATGTCCCTGTGAAGAGAATGCATTATTTACCCCTCATTCCTAGGCTTAAGAGATTATATGTTTCAATGAGTTCTGCTCCGCATATGAGGTGGCATTGTGAAAATAAGAGAAAGGAGGGACATTTGTGTCATCCATCATATGGAGAAGCATGGAAACATTTTGACAAGACATTTCCTGATTTTGCAATTGAACTAAGAAATGTAAGATTAGGATTATGTGTTGATGGTTTCACCCCATATGGTCAATTAGGAAAACCATATTCTTGTTGGCCAGTGATTGTAACTCCTTACAATTTACCACCACAATTGTGCATGACTACCCCTATATGTTTTTAACTTTAATTATTCCTGGGCCAAAAAATCCAAAGGAAAAAATAGATGTATATTTAAAACCTTTGATAGAAGAGTTAAAAATATTGTGGAATGAAGTGTGTTGACATATGACATTTCCAAAAAAACAAAATTTTATGATGAAAGCTGCATTGATGTGGACTGTTAATGATTTTCCTACATATGGTATGTTGTCTAGTTAGAGTAAAATTGGAAGATTGGCTTGCCCATATTGTAGGAATAATTCAAAAATCTTTTGGTTGGATAGTGGTCGTAAGTTTTCTTGATTTGATTGTCATCGTCAATTTTTGCTTATGAATCATGTATATCGAAGAAATAAGAATGCATTTTTAAATAATCAAATTGAAGATTCTCAACCTGCAAGTTGCTTATTTTCCAAAAGTAACTAAGAAAGTACAATTTACATGTTATGGTTGTGGTGTATATCATAATTGGATAAAACAAAGCATTTTTTGAGAGTTACCATATTGGAATTCCAACCTGTTAAGACATACTCTTGATGTCATGCATATTGTGAAAAATGTGTTTGATAATGTGTTTAATACAGTGATAGATATCAAAGATAAGACCAAAGATGATATGAAGGCAAAAATGGATGTAAAAGAGTATTTTCAGAGAAAGGAATTAGAATTGCAACAATTACCTAATGGAAAAGTTATAAAGCCTAAAGCACAATTTGTCTTATCTAAGGAGAAAAAAAGTGTTGTCTATAAATGGATTAATGAGTTGAGAATGCCTGATGGTTATGCCTCAAATTTGCAACGATGTGTAAACATAGAGCAAGGAAAAATGATTGGAATGAAAAGTCATGATTATCATATATTTATGGAACAGTTAATGCCTATTGCTTTTAGTGCACTGTCAAATCAAATTTGGAAACCAATTACTGAGTTAAGTAAATTCTTCAAAGATCTATGTTCAACTATTTTGCGAGTGGATGATTTTTTATTAATGGAATAAAACATTGTAATTACATTATGTAAATTGGAACGATTCTTTCCACCTGCATTCTTCAATTCAATGGAACATTTACCTATTCATTTGCCTTACAAAGCAAGAGTAGGAGGTCCTCTTCAATATCGGTGGATGTATCCATTTGAGAGGTACTATTTTTAATTATCAAATTTGAACATGCATACTTGTCTTATTTGAAATTATAATAACAATGTGATGGTGTTGTATTAGGTACTTGAATAAGTTAAAAAAAAATGGTTAAGAACAAGGCACATGTGGAAGGTTCAATATGTGAGACATATCTAGTGCCAGAGACTTCTCATTTTTGTTCATATTATTTTGAGACTCATGTGCAAACAATGAGAAATAAAGTCAGTCGCAATGATAATGGAGGTGAAAATGTACAACTGGATTATGTACCAACAATTTTTAATCATCCTGGTCGCTTTAGTGGAAGATCTTCATGTCGATACTTAAATAAGAAAGAATTAGAAGTTGCACATTTGCATGTGTTACTTAATTGTGAAGAAGTTCAACCATTAATCAAGTAAGCACCACAATTCATTTTGGCATGCATTTTTCATGCATAAAACCACTAACACAATGTTATATGTAAATGTTAGAATATTTGAACAATTTTTAGAAGTAGTGAATCCAAACATCACTCGAAGAGAAATTGAGGCTCAGATTGCTTCTGATTTTTCTAGATGGTTTCAAACATATGTAAGTTTTAAAAATATTTTCTAAATCAATCATAAGAATAATTTATGTTCTCACATTGACCTATTCATTCATACTATGTCTATCATTTGTTTAGGTTCACGATAGGAACAATATGGTTCAAAGTCAATTTTTACATGACTTAGCATGGGGTCCACGAAAAGGTTTTTACATGGTCTATTTATTTTGTCAATGGTTTCAAGTTTCATACGAAAGAATGGAGCATTGGAAAGAAAACTGTCAATTGTGGAGTTTGTGTTAGAGGGGATGATATTGAAAATGAAGAAAACTATTATTATGGTATCATTAAAGAGATTATGCAACTTGAATACATAGGAGATCCAACAAAAAATTAGTTGTATTCAATTGCCAATGGTTTGATTCGAAAAGGAATGTGGTGTACGAGTTCACAAGGAATATGGTATAGTGGAGGTTCATCATCGTAGAAGGTATTTGAATTATGATGCTTTCATACTTGCATCAAATGCAATTCAAGTATATTCACAAATTTGTATTTTGTATGATACTGAATTTGTTTTCTTTCTCTTTTACACATTAGCATGGGCTGTATGAGAGGATAGATGGGAAGGTTGGAGGAGCTGAAAGACAAGTACGGATAGATCGGTTTAATGCTGAAGATTCTCGGAGATTTTGTTTTATTTTTTGTTTTATTCCTTCTACTAGAACTGGAGGATTGGGGATAAACCTTACCACAGCTGGCACGGTTATTATATATGATAGTGGAGGTTTACATTTTCAACATTTCTTTTTCTTTCATTTGTTTTCTAAATTACAACATGGATCGTATTGGGTGCGGTTGGCTACATGGATCAAACCAGGCCATTGGGTTTGGTTAAAAACCAAATTCATAGGAGTATTACTTACCTTAAGATTCTTTTCATTAATTTATTTCAATATCTTTGTTTGATTCCATGTATCCCATTTTACAAGGTTAACAACCATGTGATCTACTCCTTAGTAGTGCTTTTAATCACATTTCTTTACACATTCTAATTCCCTTAATTGATTTTTGTCCTTGTCTTGACAGTGTATTTGTATGTCATACAAGTGCAAGTAGTTAGTTAGTTTTAACTACTATTAATAGGTTTCAGTTCGTTAGCTTAGCCTATTCCTTAGTTAGTCTGTTAGTTTCTTTTAACAGCTGTCAGTAGCTATGTTTTAGTGACTCTTGTAACTACTCTGTGCAATCACAATGTAATTACAATTGAAATGATGAAAAAGAGCAGTATATTCCCTGTTTTTTATATTTTAGTTCCATTCAGTATCGTCTTGTATAAAATCATCGTGTATCTTGTCCTTCATTATGTGGCCACACATCCTAATAAATGTTCTTGTTTTTGTTACTTTCACTTTTTTCTTGTGTTATCCTCTAAAATTCAATATTCGTTGTCATAGAATTTGTAGTGTAGTCGTCCAACAAAAATTGTCTTTTAAGTTTGCAAACAACTTACCCCTAATGCTTATTTTAGCCACCTAGCTTATATTGACGAAGAAAAGTAATGATACTATACTATTGACCAATGTTTTAAAATGGGACTAGTGATTGAACTAGTTAAGGATTTGGTTTAATGTTTAATTAATGATGGTTGAAATGTGGTTGAAATGGTACTAATTAATGTTATATTGTAACTTACAACTACTTGTCTACTCGTTAATACTTTGAACGGTTAGTAATTCTATGTTACAGATACCTATATATATAGATCGTCCTTATCCCAACAATTCCATTTTATCTGCCAAGACAAAGCTCGTGGAACTTGACCTTTTCTTTGTTAGAGAAAAGGAGCTTTCCAAGCAAATAATTGTTGAACATACTCTTGGTGGATTTACTTTCTAAACCTCTATCTCCTACAAGATTTCTTTTTCTGAGATCCAAGCTCCTACTCGTTAAACTACAAATTGTTGTATCTCACCCACCTTGAGCTTGTGGGGAAGAGGGGTGTTAGAGATATCTCTTGTTCTCTTTTCTGTTACAAAGATACACTGATATGTTGGAGATATTTCTCTAGTTTTCCTTTTTGTCAACATAATGTACCCTAATAAGCTGTTTTTCTTTTCTATTTTGTCAACTAACGGTTCTATTTAGTCAGTTCTTGTCTACTTGTTAGCAATTATAGATTTTTGTAACAGAGAATTACTAGCTTTCACAATGTACTTCTTTTACTAAGTATCAATATAATCTTCATCTTTTATTCAATAAGGTTGATTTGATTTATTGATAATACCAAGAATGCTTGCATAAAGGGGTTGACTTGTTTTTTAAATAATTTCTTTGCAATGGATCTTTAAAAATTACAATTCCTTGAATTGATATTATAAACAGTGGACACTCTCATTAAACTCCTTTTGGTTCTGGCATCATTAAACTCCTTTTGGTTCTGGCATCCATATGATGCCGAAACATTAAGATTTTGGTTTTGATAGAGTATTAGTGTTATTCTTCTCTTAAATCCTTAGATCTCTGTTCTCTATTTTAATTCAATAATTTTTCCCTCCAACTTATTGATTCGATTATCAACCTATAGTGATTGGAATCCTCATGCTGATTTACAAGATATGGCCAAAGCTCATCGACTTGGACAAAAAAATAAGGTTGTTTTTTTTTCATTATTATGTAGTTGATTTTTGTTGACGTCAAAGTTCATAGTAGTTCTTGTGTTGTAGGTGATGATTTGTAGGCTTATAACAAGGGGAACAATTGAAGAAAGGATGATTCAGATGACAAAGAATAAAATGGTGTTAGAACACCTAGTTGTAGGGAAGTTAAAGTCTCAAACAATTAACTAGGTACATTTTCATTTTTAAAATGATGTTGAATGTTGTACTTCAGATAATTACTTCCTATCTTCTGACATCTTGTGCTTATTTTTTAGAAATAATTAATAGATGTAGATTTGTAGTTTGACATTTGTTCTTCTGTCTTAGGAATATAAAAGGTCTCTTCTTTTGTCCAATAAATATTCTTATATAGTCATTTGTTCTCAATCTCTTAATTACTAACTTGTATATCTAGTGTGGAACTAGAAATATTAGTGTCTTCAAAATACTGCCATTGGCCATAGTAGATAGTAGTAGTGGCTGATTTAAGGAAAAATTGACATCCAAAAGCAATTCTATGGGACCAGTTGCCCACCCAATTATTAAATTTATATAATTTTTTAAGAGGATGTTCGGAGGGGTAGGAAGGGAAGGAAGAAAAAAGTAAAATAAAATGAAGGGAAATAAAGAAGATGAGGGTCTTAGCTATTGAATTCTCTTTCACTAGTACAGAAAACACCTTTAACATCGGTTCTTAGCGGCTTTCTACATCGGTTCTAGAACCGATGTAGATATAACCGATGTAGAAAGTTGGTGAGTTTTAACATCGGTTAAGAACCGATGTAGAAAGTCGACTTTCCACATCGGTTCTAGGCCATAACCGATGTAGAAAGTCCGACTTTCCACATCGGTTATAGCTATAACCGATGTGGAAAATCGGACTTTCTACATCGGTTATGGCCTAGAACCGATGTGGAAAGTATTAAAAATCACTTTCTACATCGGTTATGGCCATAACCGATGTGGAAAGTCATATTTTTTTAAATACGAATTTTAGTTTTTGATTTTTCATAACACTGTACAACATTTTAAATATTTACAGCTACTCGGAATGTTAATCTATATATAGAGGACATGCATTAACACACAAGTAAACATAATGTATATTATATATCTACATTGTATTGTATCAACAAACAATAAACATGTATTGTATTCTAAGTTTATATATACAAAGAAACTAGCAGTCCTAATGTTTCACAATTAAATTCAATCACGACTATAGTTCTTAATAACAAAATCGCACAAATTCGTCTAATGTCATCAATCTACTGCTTCACTTATTGGATGACCATCATCGAATATCTACAAACAAAAAAAAACATTTCGAGATAAGCGAAGTAGGCAAATATATGTCAATGACATAGATATAGTCATAACACATACCAAATTCCATGAATCTGTGATATTTCTTGTGATGATTGTTAACATATGTCTCATCACATAATATCCGCACTCCCAACTTCCTTTTTGCTTATTACACTATAAGAAAAAAAACATTAAATACGAGAAAATGAGTAAATTAAAGTTAAGAATTTGAAAGATAATGTCCTTACACGTGGAAGTATCCATGTGGGTTTCTTTTTAGGCTTACCCTCCATGACTGAGTATGCTTCTATACACCTATAAAAGATTAAATGGAAAATACTTCATATTAAGACATGTGGAACATACACCCATTTTTGGCCTTTAAGTTAAATAATTTTAACACTGCTGACAACCGTGTGAACTTAGAACATCCTATATACAGAGGCTTCTTACTATCTTCGCATAGTTCTTCGAATACATATCCTTTTTCAAATGGCTCTTCACCGATATCACGTATCAAATCCTCTAGTCGATCATTGGTTTCTTTACGGATTTCGGTTGTCTGCGAAGCCATTGGGAAATCTACTACTTCCCCATGCCAAATCCACTTAGTGTAACTCTTGCAAAATCCATCACAAAGGAGATGCTCTCTTATATCCTTCACACTTAGTTGTCTTAAATTTAAGCACTTCACACAAGGACAATAAAAGAGACATCTATTGTTACCCACATTTCTCTGTGCAAACTCTAAGAACTCTTCAACCCCTAATTCATATTCTTCTTCTATACGTTTGGCATTTATCCAACTCCGATCCATATCTATAGGTACATGACGTCTTTGCTTAGTGTGAAAATGGAATTACCTCTATTCAGAGGCAACAAACTTAAACAACTCAAACTATAATCCAAAGCTGAAATAGTACTTGGAACAACGAGTAAAACTCCGGGAACAAAACAAACAACACAAAGAACAAACCTAAATCAACAACATAAGAAACAAACCCAAATGAAAAACAAGAGAACCAAATATAATCAATACCCCAAAACCCTACACCCCGACGTGGAAACCCATAGCCTTAACTCTTCCGCTAAGAGACTCGGACCGAAGCGACATCAACCAACCCAACAGGGCTTGGATAACACCAATCTCAACCCCACGAGAATAACCAAGTGAAAATCACATATTCAAGTCAAACTAAATGGAAATAATAATACAAAACCCAGAATAAACATGTCTACATACATTAAACCCAGGCGAGAATCAGTCCACGACCAAACAAAACAATCCAGAATCAAGGAAAATGCATAAAGGTAATTGACAAAACAAGGATGAGAAGCCAATAGGATAGACCCACGGACCTGGTCCGAATCACCTCTGGTTCGCGACGAGATCGAAGGTGCGCAGGTGCAATGAGGAGGAGCTCCTAGAGGGTTTCAGAGAGGTGAAGACGAGGGTGGCGCGTCGCAGTTCTTGGTGCGCGTCGCAGTTCCTGGTGCGCGTCGCAATTCTTGGTGCACGGCAAGGGTGGTTTTCGCTTGGGGATTCGATTGGGGAAACGGAGGTTAGGGATTCGATTGGAGGAAGGAGATGGGAGAGACAGTGGTTTTTGCTACTGCGATAGGGGCAAGGAGACGGTGGTTTTCGCTACTGTGAGAATGAATTTGGTAATGGCTAGGAGCAAGGGAAGAATTCCAGAGGGAGTCGAGTCTGTAATTGGGTCCGGGAGTCGAGTCCGTAAGGGCAAGAGTGGAGTCTAGGGCTTACTTGTCTAAAATTTTTATTATTATT